TAAATTGCAAAGTTGGACTCAGGCCTATTGAAACGAAAATGCTTATGATTCTTTGTTAATTCCAAACTGATCAGATTATTATATTTCCTACCAGTTTAAAAAGAAAAAAAAAGGCAGGTGAAGCTAATTATACCATTTTTTAAATTTCTTTGCCATATACATTGTCCAATGTGTGTGTGTATGTGTGTGTGTGTGAGTGTGTTTTTGCATTCTCTTCTGTGACCCTCACCCACACCTTGATTTTAGTTCTTAACCTGGATTCTTTCATCCATAACATGGATAATGAGAAAACTCCAAAAATGTTCCTTGGGGGACTGTTACACTAAAAGTTACGTAGGACTAAATCCCACGTGTCTTCCTTTGCTCACCATGGAGACGGGAGATTCATTCACTGCCCTCAGCCAATTTGAAATCCAAATATGAAAACAGCCTTATGGAATTCAGACAGATGATTCTCCTTCACAACTAGCAGATGCAAGAAGAAAAATAAAGACTAGTATAATTAAGCTTTTAACTTTGATCCAGTGAAGCTGTGAACACCCCATTTAAAAATACATATAATATAAAAGCAGCTGAAGCTCAGGTGTGGCAAGAGTATTTGCACGCCCAGCACAGGACGGCAGTCAACCAATCAGCTGGCCAGAAAGGTTTCAGCCATTCTAAAGCAAGAATGAGGTGAACTGTGAATCTGAAATATTACCAGAGTCTTGTTCGTTCTTTCTCAGTTGGAATGTGGAATGCTCAGTGGTTTTCGTTACATCTTTCTACTGGACACTTTAGAAAAAGACTGGGATCACTTAAGGAGTAGACTAAATTGCAGTGCATTTTTTAATGAGGGTTCAAAGTAAAGAAGTTTCTTTAATACATTTCTCAATTTATGCATTAGTCCATTATTCATCTTACAAATATTTATTGAGGACTCATTATGTGAATATCAATTGACAGAAATTTGTAGAGGATGCAAAGGCGTGAAATTAGAAAACTATAATCAAATCTAATAAAGTGGTTAGCTGAGAACACTGTTTTGGCATTATACAGATATAGATATGCACACATGGGGGCTTCCCTGCTGGCTCAGATGGTAAAGAATCTGCCTGCAATGTAGAAGACCTGGGTTTGATCCCTGGGTTGGGAAGATCCCCCGGAGAAGGGAATGGCCACCCACTCAAGTATTCTTGCCTGGAGAATTCCATGGACAGAGAAGCCTGGTGGACTACAGTCCATGGGGTCGCAAAGAGTTGAACATAAACGAGTGACCAACACTTTCACTTCATACATTCAGTACTTATTAACCTCACTTTAAATATACTTTCAGACATTAAAAGAGAAGATTAAGTGCAATCTGCAATTTCAATTTATTGTTTAAATTTCTTAGCCCAATTTTGCTTCATCATTAAAATTTCTGGAGGAAAAATAAGATCAAAATTTGAATAGTGCCTAATGTTTCAGAGAAGTTTGCTTGAAGAAATGAGCAAGCTTGTCTTCACAATAACAAAATTCCTTTACAAAAAAATCCTAAGGAAAAGAAAACTGCCAGAAAAACGAATGCAGCTTTGTTTGTTTTTGCAGTCATCGTTAGCAATAGACATAAAGGTATTCCTTTTTTTTTGGAGCCCATATGGAAAGATCATCAACACATTCTGCCTCTGGGTTCTTTGCCAAAATACCATAACCCACAAGCCTTCTACCTTAAACATGAAAGGAAAGGTGTTGTTCTGGTCAAATAAAGAAATAATTTTTACTAGCATACGTCTAATGTTAAAGCTGCTTAAATCCTGCCAAATACATTAAAACAACATCTGTAAAACAGATTTTCATTAAATTGATCAGGTTAAAGTTAAGCAGCTAGGCAGATGATGCTTTTAAGCTACCCCTTAACCTTTAACCTCTAACCTCCTTAAACTGGAAATAAGGACACACACTTCTTTGAGGTAAGACTGCTTCAGGTTGACCATGCAAGAGGTAAAGTGGCCCATTCAAACTGTCCTGACACATCCCCACATTTGGGAGTATTATGAATCAATATGCTGTCAATGAGAAGAGCTGTTTTTCTCCCAGCCCTGTATTTATCTGTCTTTTCACTGCTACTTGTCACTTTCCCTTAAAGTCTGAATAATTCACAATGCAAAATGATGTAAATTAAACTCCTAATGAAAATGAATTTTATATAGGCAATTATTGTCTGGTCATTAGCTCAGACACTGTTTTAAGTCCAATTTTAATATTTTCACCATATTATAAACCATCATTTTTTTCCAGGCCTAGGCCAATTTGTTAGGGTCTCATTTAAAAGCAATTAATGTTACTTATGGAGCAATTTTATTTTGCCTACACAAGCCGACCAAGCTTGCTAATATCCTCATTACTGCTCTTGAAAATCCTCTGGATCTGACTCACACAGTTTCTGTGAATCAGTTTAGAAACCGCATCCTCAACACATTGCTACTCTGGAGGAATTATTTCTAGTGATTGCTAGAATGAATAAATGCTCTTTGAAGGCTGATGCAAAATAATAGAGTCCAACTGCCCAATACTGAGTTTCAATGGCTCCAATATTTATCTCTCTAATCTTTTTATTTCAAGTTAAGCTTGTTCAAAGTGTGTTTTTATTTGTTTGCTGACCATTTGGAGATACTACCCCACAAGGACACGGAGGTATTTAAGAGATAAGTAAATAAATAAGATGGTGGGGAGAGTCAACTTGTATGTACAACATTTTGAAGGTAAGAGTACACATAGCTTCCCTGGTGGTTTGGTGGTAAAGGATCTGCCTGCCGGTGCAGGAGACACAGGTTCAATCCTGATCCAGGAAGACCACATGCAGCACAGAGCAGCTAAACCTGTGCACCATGGCTATTGAGCCTGTGCTCTAGCGCCTGGGAGCCACACTGTGAGGTCTCAGCACCCTAGAGCCTGTATCCCACAAAAGAAACCACTGCAATGAGAAGCCCGAGCGCCGCCACTGGAGAGGAGCCCCCACTCACTGCAACTGGAAGAAAGCCCACACAGCAATGAAGAGTCAGCACAGCCAAAAATGAAATAGATAAAATTTTTATAAAAGAGGACATATAGCCTTTGGTTCTGGTATCTCAAGCTCTCTCTGCTTTAAGGACCTATTCATAAGCAAGTTCTGTCTCATCTGGTTGTTATACAATCAAAGACAAAATCCAGCCCTCTCTGAAATGGAACTTCAAGGGTAACCCTGGCACCTAGCAAACTGCTCTGCAGAGAGTGAGGGTGGTCAGGCCATATTCATGGATAAACTTAACACACACATACACATGTAAATAACTGTCCGGCAATGAGCTTAAATAGCCTTTCCTGAGAAAATCAACAAGGATGCTCTGCCTTTCTTTAGCTTCCCACATGAGATTAATAAAGCAGAAAAATTTGTACATTTGTATCTTCTATTCACAACATGTTAATTTAAAGTGTTGGAGGACTTGCGTGAATATAAACACAGTTCATGAATATTCTATATAGCTCCCAGGGTCAGGATCTATTATTTATACAAACTTAATGTGTTTTTTTTTCTCCCAGATATTTTAAAAGTTTTAATAGATCAGGTATCAACAGAAGAAAAGTTGACAATTGAACGGCTGCCAGCTGCTGCTGTGAAAGCGATGGATTATAATCATTCTATTCTGTTTTCAATACCATCAACTTAGAAGTTTTCCATTTTATGTGAGGGCCTGCACTCCCCTCAAATTGTGTAACCCAAATCGAATGCTTTCGTTATTGATCCACGAAGCGCCAATATCACAGGCACAATGTTACAAATTCTCACATCACGACTTTAGGTTTTCACGCTCAGTACATCAATCCAGCATTTGAACGTCAAGAAACAGCCCAAACAAATAGTGGCAGGCCAATCCAAATAAATAATGCCTGCACCTGCCCCAGATAGCCACATTCTGCTCTTTTTGTGGTCTGTTTATAGTTTGAAAGCATATTTGAAGAGCCGCAGGTATCATAATCGCTGGGTGACTCCTGATAGTATAGTTATCACTGATTTCTAGTATAAATCAATAGATAACACTTGCAAAATGGATTTTGCAATCATATTAGAGCTTGTTACAGTGACTAATGGTTTGCAATATTTTCTGAATTTTAATATCCTCTGGACAAAAGAAGTTTTTAATAAGTTACCAAGTTATTCATCATAGAAATGAATCTGTTCCTGCTGTACATGAACCAAGACAATCAGGCCAATCCAGTAAACAAACTGCAGAAAATAAATTAACCAGTAATTAGGGTTCAGAAAAAGTCAAGTCAAGGTATGTGACAAATGAGAGTCAACACTTGGACGAGTTCATTACATCTGCAAAGCTTTTTCCCCTATAAAAGTGTTATTTGCCATTTAATGAACACTTTTACCAGTGCCACACCCATAGAGGGACGGGATAAAAACATTACTAACTTGGGAAGTCATGCAAAATAACAACAGAGTTAAGCAGAAGACTTTCAACTGATGCTAAAGGAGGGTGTCTTTTTACTCAGTACCACCAGAAACTCACAGGAAAACCCGCGCACACACACAGTGTTTTGGATCATCCTTGTTTGTCACTAAACAAAAGATGATGCATTCACAAGGCAGTGCTGTTTTTGTCCTCTGCTCCCTGAAACCATTCATACTTAGCCAAGAGTGGTGCTATGTTGTTGTTTTTAATCAATCAATAAAAGAGGTTTAAGAGTATTATTTAATAGGTGGAAACACTCAGAAAAGTGATGTTATTTCAGGGCAACCAGTAGAGTGATCAATCCCACAGAGACAGGTGTAAAAGGGACATACAGCAAATCCTTTAAATAAATTCTCCAATTCCATCTATTTCGATAGACTCTGCATTTAGTAACGTGAAGCAGAGACTGTGGCTCTTGCCCTTCTATTTTTTTTTTCCCCTCTCTCCTTTTTCCTTAACTTGCAGATCTGTGCTCCAAGCTCCGAAACAGTTAATTCCCTCCTCCACTCTGTGCCAAGAGAAATGGATGTCACTGCTTACCTTGTAGAGCTTCAGGGCCGCCTCGTGCCTGTGATTGGTGGTGTGCAAGCGTAATTTGTCCACGCTGTTGGTGTAGTAGTCACAGGCGTTGCACTTGAGGTGAACGGGGTTGCCAATGGCAATGCACTTCAGCCTCCATTCATTACTTTTGCCCCCTTCCTTAATGTGAGCCACCAGTTGATATTTCTGCATATGTTTATCAGTCTTGCAGTGAAGCTGGAAGTTGGCTTTGAGCTGAGTGTTGTAGTTACAGAGCTTGCACTGGTAGATATCTCCAATTACAGCCCTCCATTCCTCTTCAGGGAGAGAGCGCTCGCTGCTCACATGCACGCTTAGGGCCTCCAGGCTGTCAGAGGTGAATTTGTTGCAAACAGCACACTGGAATAGCTTCAGCGCTGGGTCACTGATATAAGGTGACAGCTCTCCTGCAGTAAGGAGGGACAGGTCATCACCTATTAGCTGACCACTGGCAAGCCGGATTTCAGGCGGCAGCTCATTATTTACTACAGGAAAAAAAAAATTAAAAGGAAAAATAGAGACTGGAAAACACAGCGTGCACAAAGGAATCTGTAAAATAAAGTCTTGACAAGGAATGTGCTTTCTCTAGAGCTTAAACTATAAAAAGCCGTAATAGGATTGAATCAGGATCAATTACAATCATCCCTTTCAACTTCTAAATTCCCTCATCAGATAGCTTTAATTACTCCTACTGGGCATGATGTCATTCTGAAATTTGTATTTTCGAGGGCAGGAAAGTGGATCAATACCATAACAAAACAGTCACGTGCTTGCAATTTAAGCGCCCAGCTAAACTTACACAAGGGCTAATTGTTATTTCGCAATTTGTCGAAAAGCTTGATGAGATTTGGCTAATACTGTATGCGTGCCTGTAATCTACTGCCAAATGTCTGGGATAAGGTAATGGTATTAATGTTCCTTTAATTATCTTCAATCACAGACACGAAAATCTTTTTTCAAAAATATTTCATGAAAAATAATGGCATACCATTCAGAAGCTCAAGTTTGATATCTTAGGGCATAATTGACGCTATAAACCTAGGAAGCTATAGCTCAGGATGCCAGGCAATTAATGCCAATTAGTATTTGTTCATCGGCCTATTGCAGGCAGACAAAGTTTGCTAACTTCTTTTCTGCTCTCTCGGATCCCTCAACTCCTTCCTCTCTCAAGTTAATTCAGATTTGAAGAGAGACACAAATGGTTTGATTATCCAGCTGAAAGGGGAAGTCCCTTCCAGTAAACTGTCCCCAATTTGTCGGCACTCACCACTTTATCGGGGTGCATCACGTCAAATCAAAAGTGTGATGAGAAACTAACAGCAGTGCAGAAAAGCAGTAAATACTGACCAAGTCCCGGGGCCAGAGCGGCCGCCGTGGCAGGGTCCAGCTGGAATGGATTGAGCATCAGCTGTGGGTCGCCAGGGTTCTCCAACTTCATCCCCGTCAGGCCTATGTTCTGGGCCAGGTAGTACTGATAGAGCTCGGCCTCGGCAGGGGCGAGGCCCAGGTGCAGGTTGTGCTGGATCTGCTTCATGTTCTGCTGCAGAAGCATCATGTTATGCATGTGCTTCTCACTGGTCATGTGAATCCGCAGGTTCCGCGCCACGTTGGTCTCGTAATCACACACCTCGCAGCGCCAGGTGGGTTTCTGCTTAGGTTTGGATGGAGAGGGGGTCCCGCAGCCACCAAGGCTGCTGTTGGGGGCTGGGGCCGAGTGGCCAAACACCTGCTCCCCGGTGCCGTTTTGGAGATTCTGCACGTTGTTCAGGTGCTTGTCCGACTGCATATGAATACTGAGGTTGCCTTTGGTAGTGGTAGAGTAGTTACAAACCTCACAACGGAAGGGTTTATAGCCACATGTGTAGCTCTCGCCCCGGGCGAGCCTGGGGTGAGGCTGTCCAGTCTTACAATAAACACAGGAGCCTCCCGGCTCGGGGTGTTTCTCCTTCATGTGGGCCTCCAGGGTCTGTTGATACTTGTAGTGCCAGTTACATTTCGGACACTTGAGGGTTTTGCATGAGTTCCTTGAGTGCATCATTGTCATGTGACCCCCAAGAGACCGCGAGGACCCCAAAACCGTGTCGCACTTGGGACACTCGATGCCACTGCCTGGTGAGCCATCTCCCCCGGGCCCAGGGGTACCCGGGGCACTCGGGGTGAAGCCGTGCTGGTGAGGTGCAGCCGAGCTGTCTTCATCCCCCCGGGTCGTCTCGCTCAGGTGAGTGGCCGTGGCACCCTCTTTACTGGCGCTGGCTTCTGCCAAGTCCTTGCCACTGATTCCGTAGCTGCCCGACACACCCCCACCAGCCCTGACGGCGGCAGCCTGTTTTTTCTTTTCTGGGTCATCAGAAACAGTGGCCGAGGAGGACGAGGGGCCCTTTTCAATGAATTTTAGCACACTGGATGATAAAGGAGAAATGCTTTGGTTTAAGAGAGGGAAATCTTTGTTACCGATACTATCGGTGAGTTCCCCTAATACTTCCTCGTCGTCAGGTTCATTGGAATATGCATCCTCTTCATCCTCATCTCCTGCCTCGGTGGGTTCGCTCTTGACTGGGCACTCCCCGTTGGGGTGTAAAGCGTTGCTCTCTTTTGGCCTTTCACAGTTGTTCTCTTGGTCTTTGCTCTCTGACATCTTGCTAGACTCAGATGATGAGTGGCTGAGGGAGACAGAGGTAATTGGGGTGTTCACTACTAAACTAGACAGCCCCCCCAGAGTCACTTCAGCCTTTGGCATTTGGGTGATCCCCAGCGGCTGCTCGGCGGAGCCAGGGGTACTCGGGCTCCCCTTCAAGAAGGCAAAGCCAGCCGGCAAAGAGTCACCATTTTCAACATGAAAAGCGCTCCATAAACCGCGGAAGGTTGGGTCGGGTCCTATGAGGTTTGTAGTAGAAAAATGGGGATAAACAGAAGTGGATTTTTTTGGTTCCAGAAAGCTTATAAGAGGTTCTTTGTCTTTGCCAATCCCCTGTATTATGGCCGAGACGCATTTGTTACTAAGGAGTTTCTGCTCCTCCTCGTTAAGGGTCATCCGATGGTCATGCACAGCATGGGTTACAAATGACCTGATATAACCGAAAGACAACTTGCACAAGAAACACATTAAAACAGGTTTCCTTTTCCCATCGCTAACACAACCATCGAATTTGGACAGGTCCACATTATTGGGGACATCTTTGGACACACAGGAGTTTTTGGCGGAGCCATCACTGGTTAGATAGTCTTTCTCTCTCTTGTGTCGGAGATCGTAGACACGGAAACTGTGCAACACAGGACCGACTCCTGCTAGTGCTGAGGTATTTGGGAAAGCCTGATCGGCTGCAAATGGTTTCCCGAGGGATGAAGCGATATGAAAAGTGTTGATGATCTGTGGGTAGAACGACAGAGGCGCAGAAGCAGACTGATCACCCTTCTCTCCGGCAGACGCCAGGGAGTCCAGGAACATCGCCGTAGAAAAGAGTTTGCTGTTTGCCCCACTCTGCGCATTCTGCCCACTTTCTTTGGAGTCCTCGATTATATAAGCTGACCCATCAGGCTGGTAAACGATCTCCCCTGTGAGATTTTCCACGTCACTATCCTCTAATTCGCTGATCTCGCTCTCGTTGTCATCCTTCAGGACGGGAAGGCGGGCATTGGGGCAGTGGTGTTCCATGTATTTTTGTAAACTGGGAAAAGAGGTGGCACATTCGTTGCACGGGATCTCCTTGGCTGAGGTAACCTGAGTGGCAGCTGCATTCTCGACGCTGAAACCCAGCAAGACTTCACTTTTGCGCTCATCCGTTTTCAGGTTGTCATCTGCGGAGCTGTTTGCCCTGTCAGGCTCCATCCCTGCAACTTTCTCTGGCACCTCATTATCAAGTTGTGCCGTTCCACATAGCTTCGACGTGCCCTGCCCATTTTCCTGCCTTGAGATAGGAGGGGAGTCACAGGTTTCCATGGCAATTGCTACATGGGGATCTCATTTCATCCAGCCTGTCAGGGACCTGGATAAAAAATAAGGTGAGAGGAGCCATTTTTATTAAATAATGACACAGCTCACTAATAGCCCATCACTAATTTACAGCTGCTGTAAACTTGACTATCTAAAAAGGTGAGGGGGAAAACTTAAAACCAGCGTACCTATCTATCACAGACAGACTTTGTATAAATGTAGCAAAATAATGTAGATAGCTATCACAGGCATGCCTAGACATCCGGAGTGTTTTTGAAATCACTCCGAGCATTCATCACAAATCTAAAATTCGTATCAGTAAGCTGTATATTTTTTTCATTCCTGTTTTCTGAAAATGGATATAATATATGTAAAAGCTTTAAAACCCCCTTTACTCTAATAGAAATGTAAATGGCTTTCATAAGACGACAGCGGGAATAAAAGGACAACACAAATAACTTGTAATTTAAAATTTACCTTTTACTTTATCAGGCAGTGAGTGGAAGTGGGGGGTGGGGGGAGGTGAGGGGGACGGGTATAAGGGTGGGAGGGAGACCAACCATAAAGGAACCTTAAATTAGAAATATTACAGTCACAGGCGGCACAGACCAAACTCTTCTCTGGTTTTCATTTTGCCAGTAAATCAGCTTACTACAAATCTTCCTTGTGTGAAAGCTCTCAGCAGGTATCTGGCTGGCCCTGATTAAGCACCAATCACAATTCTCTCCCACACTTCGGTCACCTCAATGGGCACCAGAACAGAAATTAATATTTACTGCAACCAGTCCTACCATCCTAGGGGACAATCGTATTCACTCCGCTTTTTTTATTTTTTTCCCCACTGCAATACGTAATGAACACCGTTCCGGATACCATTTTGATGTTATCAATCCTGGTTGAGTCGCCCATCTTTCAACCATGGCCTCAATCAACATCTCCCTTGGCTTAACAAATCATATGCAAGCACATCTGATGAAAATACTTCCATCATTTTTTTTTTAGTTTTTTTTTTTTTTTCCAGGCAAGCATCTTAGACTGTAAACTCCCTTTGTTGAGACCAAGAAGCTCTTGGTCTCATAAAAGCCGTATCAATTTCAGGTAGCAGGGGAAGGTACCAGGAGGAAGGTAGGCACACATTGGTAAAACTGCACTCCCCTTCTGTGTGTGAATGTGTATGTGTATGCCCACTTGTGTGTGTACCTGCAAACCTCAGCTACTGGTATAGCAGCCTGATTAGGGCTGACATGTCTCTGAATCCCTGCACATCTCTCCATTTGCAGAATGATGGCACTGTACACAAGAGTTGAGTGGTCTGAAAGTTTAGTGCTCCTTTTCAGTCTGCGGCATAGGCACTGCCTTGATTTTATCAAAAAGGTAAGCCATCTTCTTTCAAATCTCAAAACTGAAGGGACCCAGAACTTCAAGGCAAATAGTCCTCTCACATAGATGTATCAATATTTCATGTACGCTGATGGTTTCTGAAATGAGGAAAGCGGACATGACTATATGCATGCATGCATGCTAAGTCGCTTTGGTTGTGTCCAAATCTTTGTGACCCTATGGACTGTAGCCGGCCAGGCTCCTCCTCTGACGAGGCTATACTGCATTAGTTATTCTACTGGGGAGGATGGACACTCAGTGATTCACTATGGATTTCCCTCCCACCCCTATAGTCTATTGCATCGACTTCACAGGGGCGGAGAACTAAGGAAACAAAACCCTGGGCTCACCAATATTACTGAGCATTTTAGAAATTCCTTTTTAAAAGTTCTTCTAGAAGAAAGACATCATTGGAGGTCAGCAGCATATTAAGTATGAAGAATAACTTCTTAATACTCTCTTTACTGTAATCAAATTTCATCTTGCCAGCTAAATCAGAGAGGAAGTGATCAGTTTCGAATACATCAAAAGAGCTGCACAGATTGAAAATGAAATCAAAATTCATTTTGGTATCTAAGATGGTTAAAATGACATTCTAATTGCACACGGATCAAACATCACAAAGCGTGGTGTGTAATTTTAATTATTGAGGCGCTCCTGGTTAATTATCTTCATGGCATGCATGCAGCTTTTAAAACCCTCTGAAATAATCTGATAAATCACCATAAGCATGAAAACCTAATAATTCTCTTAATTAGTCCACAAACATTCATATTTACCTTTGCATTTACCAAATCTGCACCATGTATAAACACTGAAGGTAGCCAAAATGTCTAAAATAAAGTCCCATGCCAGACTAAAAGAAGTGAGGAAGGTAGGGAGAAATTGGAGGTTTGAAGGGGGAGCAAGGTGGTAACACTAAACTAATGATCCTAGATAAAAATATCAAGTTCCAGGACTCAAAGTAGCTTTTTTTTTTTTCTTTCTTTCCTTTGATGACTTAGGCAGATATGTGGAAGATTATTCACCTTAATTACAGGAGTGAGAAAGGTTCTCAAACACTTTACAGCCTTATAAAGGAGTTTCTGAGCTATTCTTAATATTTAATTTCTGTTTTATCTATACCCTACCTACAACAGTTCTCAGCTGACAAAAACACTAACTAAAATTATGACACACATGCTAAATGCACTTCAGATGAGTCGTATGTAACACACAGTTAATAATTTTAGCCAGATGCCGAATGGACTCTGCAATGTCTAATCAGTGTCTCTCTATATGAAGTATTAATAGATCCTACCTTTTTATTTTATCTTCATAGGATCAGGAGTAACTATCAAAAATGACTTTATTGATATGAGACAAAAATTATGAAAACTATACTACAGAATCAATCACAGGACAAAGCCACTCCCACATAACTACACAAAATTGCTAATCAAGTTCTTCTCATAAACTACACATTAATCAGAAACTAGTAAGTCTTCTGTACAACCAAAATAGTAAATATTCTCTACAATCAAATTTACATTTCATTCCAAAAGCAACAGTAACAAAACTATCTGAATTGATAGAGCTAGTAGTAGACCTGATTTTTACATTTGTAGTTACATACTATGACCATGGTGGTGTTTACCAGCATATTTTGATGGAATCACTTTAGCTTGTGCAGTTAAAAAGTTATTTTAGATCAATATGTACTATGACACTAAAGATGATGCTAAGTGATTTCACTGTCACCAGCGTCAGACAAGATCTTTCTTTTAACAATGTGACCTATTTAGGAAATTCACACTAAAGTTTATAAGTCCCAGTTAAAAGACCACAAAGACAACCATCTAACTTATACCAGAGTATTCATTCCAAAATAACTTTATAACAAGTAAACTCACTATAAAAGTTGCTTCACCTGTTAAACTGTTTTCTATTTAGTCTTCACCAATTACTATTCTCTACTAATAAACATTCTATTAAAAAACAAATACAAAAACACCCAAGTCGTCAAGAAATCTCAAAGAGTAAACCTGATACAATTTTAATGTTAAATTCAGAACAATATATACTAGCTGGTCTGCTTAGAATACATGTACGCAGTATTCTCAGCAATTCACAAAGATCAGTGACTTTGATCATGTAAATCCCTTTTTTGGAACTAATGGACAACATGCAGAAAGGAACTTTTATGGCTCATTCTGCCTTACTGTCGTCCTGCAGTCACTTCTGCCTAAACTCTGCTCTGCTAAATGACCAAACCCACCTATGAGGAGTCTGGCTAATGAAAGAGGGTGCTTTCTGAACAATAGACAAATTCCTTTGCATTCAGAAGGCAGGGCTCCCATTAGAACCCAAAATCAGAGAAGCCAGTTTTACCTCTGTTTTTTAATTGAGATTGTCCCAGCCCTCCTTGGTGACACAGTGAGACAGTGTTTGTGAAACGATTAAAAAGAACGTGATCTGATCAAGAGGACAGAATAATGGGAAAGGAATGCTAGGTTAGCCACTCTGCAAAGTGCTGGGAAAGAAGACAGACCACTGTGCCCTTTTGCCTATTGTTTTTATTCTCATCCGCTCTTGGCCATGTCGTGATACTTTGAGTCTTTATTTCATTTTGAATGGGTTAAAAGTTGGTCATGTAAAAGGGAATTTGGTAACAAGTCACAAATCCTAAAAATGTATATATACATACATATATATGTATGTATATATATATAAAATAAATAAAAATCCTTGAATTATATCAAGTTTCCAAAAGGTCATCACTGTCTCTGCTGTGGCCTTTTCCCATTCCAAATCCTCTATCAATATGTCATAGTGAGTTAGCCAAAGACAAAAGAGAGGCGCAGTGTGAAAACGGCACATATATCTAATGCTGACAAAGCAATGAATAGACCTTCACAAGTATAATTATACTTGTTTATTTGTTGCCACGTACAGAGAACTGATGAAAAAAATCCATCAAAGTGGTATTATGCAGACACCAAGAGCTTCTTTTCTTTGCTCGCTAAAGCCACATTGAAGCTTAAATTCCTTATTGTTAAATTCAGAAGAAAGAAAAAAAAAAGATTTTTGGCTGGATTTTTTTCTTTTTTGCATCATTTCCTGACAGATCTTTTGTGTCTTGGGCTGTATTAGCTCACACTGCTACCTCATTTTTACCCATGTTGGAATTCATAATTACAAACTACTGTACAGAAGCTTTTAGAAGGGTGTGGTGTGCTGACCAAGATGAGAGAGTAGTGAAATTGGCCTTTTCTCACAACCTGGCTTTTGATATATCAAAAATACAGGTAAAGTACCTGTGTAGAAGCATCAGTTACATCAGAATGCATCTTTGATCTCAGTCTTTTAAGTCAGTTGCTGGTGCTTTTCTTTACTCAGCTTTCTCTGCAATTTGCTTATTTTTGGATCTGTTTAGTATTTCATAAAAGACTGCATAACTTCTTTCCCGTTTCAGTATTAAGAACATTAGCAAGAAGGGAGGCAAATGTAAGGATGTCAAAGGATTGAAAATATCAAGTAAAAAGATTTCAAACCCAACTCTTAAGGGGCCATTATGTTCCAACAGACACTAAATCACATAACTTAACAAAAGCACATTTTTAGAGGTGGGGGGCGGGGCAAATAAGCTTTTTTGTTATTGTTTTTTCTTGCAGGATAGAAATATATCAAAGT